CATCACCATGGCCCAGCTAATTTATTTTGTATTTTTAGTAGAGACAGAGTTTTACCATGTTGGCCAGGCTGGTCTCGAACTCCTGACCTCAAATGATCTGCCTGCCTCAGCCTCCCCAAGTGCTGGGATTACAGGCGTGAGCCACCACATCCAGCCAGATCAAAGCTTTTCAATTTCAGTTTCAAAAACTAAAGCAAGGAGAGAAGACAAAAATGATAGCTACTATCATTGGAATTATCATTCTTATAATAGGTAATATTATTGTGTACTTCCTAATCAATTTTTATGTATTATCTCATTTAATCCTCATAACAGCCCCCTGGGGCAGATACTGTATCCCTATTTTACAGATGAGGAGACTGAGGCATTAAGAGGTTAATTAAATTCTTTAAGATCACATAGCTAGAAAGCAGAGCTGGGATTTGAACCTAGGGAGTCAGATTTCAGAGCCTGCATTTTTTTTTTTTTTTTTTTGGAGATGGGAGTCTCGCTCTGTTGTCCAGGCTGGAGCTTGCCCAGGCTGGAGCATAGTGACTCAATCTCGGCTCATATAACTCCTGCCTCCCAGGTTCAAGCGATTCTCATATGTCAGCCTTCTGAGTAGCTCGGACTACAGGCACACACACACACTCAGCTAATTTGTATTTTTATTAGAGATGAGGGTTTCACTATGTTGGCCAGGCTGGTCTTGAACTCCTGGCCTCAAATGATCCACCAACCTCAGCTTCCTAAAGTTCTGGGATTACAAGTGTGAGCTACCATGCCCACCAAAGCCTGCATTCTTAACCACAATGGTACAGATTGCCTCTTATCTTCTAGGCATCAATACAATGACCATTTGATATGCTAAGTACATGGGGCTTATGTGAATAACTGAGAGAACTTAAAAGATGTTTAGTGCCACCAAGTTACCACATGACCCAGCAATTCCACTCCTATTTATCCACAGAATAGAAAATATATAACCATACAAAAACCTGTGCATAAATGTTCATAAAAGCATTATTCACAATAACCAAAAAGCGAAAACAATTCAAATGGTCAACTGATGAATGAACAAAATGTGGTGTATCTACCCTATGGAATATTATTCAGCCATACAACATAATGAAGTACTGATACATGCCACAACGTGGACAAGCCTGAAATCACTGTGCTTAAAAAAGAAGCTAGTCACAAAAGACCTCATATCATATTACTCCATTTATATAAGATGTCCAAAAGAGGTAAATCCACAGAAACAGAAAGTAGATTAAAGTTACCAGGGTCTGGAGTGTGGTGGATGGGGTGTGACTGCAAACAGGTATGTAGTTTCTTTTTGGGATGATGAAAATGTTCTGAAATTAGTGGTGATGGTTATACAAAACCATCTGTACTATAAATGAATATACTAAATACCACTGAAATGTACACTTTAAAAGGGTAAATTTTATGGTATGTGAATTATATCTCAATAACGCTGCTATCTTTAAAAAGAATGTTTCATTCATTTTCAACTTATTTTATTTAATAAAAGTTCTATTTGGTGTCACTAAGGTTGCTGGATCGTGATCAGACAAACTGAAAGAAACCTGTCATCACTTTGATTTTTCACCTTTCAATTGGCAAAGAAGAGTAAACTAGTTTCATTTCCAAGTTGCAAAGCATCTAGTACAGTCATTTGTGTCATTTCCCCACCTGGGAGAAAGTTTTTCTTCTCTAAGATTGAAAGAGTACAGATGCAAAAGTTCTATTCTTGAGAAAATGCCCTAATATTTTCTTTAAATCTATCTAAAAGAACCTTAGTTTTGGGCGGGGCGCGGTGGTTCACGCCTGTAATCTCAGCACTTTGGGACGCAGAGGCGGGCAGATCACCTGAGGTCGGGAGTTAGAGACCAGCCTGGCCAACATGGAGAAACCCTGCCTCTACTAAAAATACAAAATTAGTCGGGCGTGGTGGCACATGCCTGTAATCCCAGCTGCTTGGGAGGCTGAGGCAAGAGAATCGCTTGGACCCGGGAGGTGGAGGTTGCGGTGAGCCGAGACCGCGCCATTGCACTACAGCCCGAGCAACAAGAGCGAAACTCTGTCTCAAAACAAAAACAAACAAAGAAAAAAACCTTAGTTTTTTCCTACCACCAGTGGCTCGTGGGCTTCACTGCTAGAAGCACACAGCTGAACAATATTTAACTTTACCAAACTATTATGAATTGTGACAATATTTTAATCCTTAACGAAGACGAGCTGGGATAAGGATCTGAGAAACATTCTTTTAAATGTTTACCTGCTCTATTAATGAAAGTAATATTAATAACTACTGTTTTTTGAGCAACTATAATGGGCTAAATAAATCTGCCCTAGGTTCTTTACAAATAGGGTATTTCAGTTAGTCCCCCCAGTAACTCTGGGGAAAGTATTTTTGTTTCTCATTTCCTAGGGAAACTGAAGCCTAGAAAGATTATTTGTCTTGGTCACACACACAAGAGAGTCCAAATAGTAACCCAAGTCTTTCTGAACTCAAAAGTTCTCTCTTTCTTTTTTTTTTTTTTTTTGAGACAGAGTCTCGCTCTGTTGCCAGGCTGGAGTGCAGTGGCGGTATCTCAGCTCACTGCAACCTCCGCTTTCCGGTTCAAGCAATTCTCCTGCCTCGGCCTCCCAAGTAGCTGGGACTATAGGCACATGCCATCACGCCCAGCTAATTTTTGTATTTTTCGTAGAGCTGGGGTTTCAGCATGTTGGCCAGGATGGTCTTGATCTCTTGACCTCGTGATCCGCCCGCCTCAGCTTCTCAAAGTGTAGGGATTACAGGCGTGAGCCACCGCGCCCGGCAAAATTTCTCTATTTCCATGTACTTATTTATTTATTTAGAGATGGAGTCTTGCTTTGTCGTCTATTTATTTATTTAGAGACGGAGTCTCCCTTTGTCACCAGGCTGGAATGCAGTGGCATGATCTCTGCTCACTGCAACGTCCACCTCCCGGGTTCAAGTGATTCTCCTGCCTCAGCCTCCCGAGTAGCTGGGACTACCGCACCACCACACCCAGCTAATTTTTGTATTTTTAGTAGAGACGGGGTTTCACTATGTTGGCTAGGATGGTTTCAACCCCTGACCCCATGATTTGCCTGCCTCAGCCTCCTAAAGTGCTGGGATTACAGGCATGAGGCATTGTTCCCGGCCTTCTCTCAATTTCTCTATATTCTTCAAAATAAAAAGGGAATCCAGAAACTTGAGGAAACTGAAAAGACTTCTCTTCCTATCTCAGAAAAGTAGTACTTTAAAAAAGTTGACTGTTCTATAGTCAAACACAGGAGATATGGGGAAAAAAACTGTTAATAGCAACCACCAGTCAGAAGGCAGAGAAGGCCATGCCATGTCACACTTCTCTTACACTGCTTCCTGATACAACAGTTTTCCTATTGATTCTGATTATAATCTTAGGATGTCAAAATTTAATGATCTCACTATGGAAAGTCCCAGAGAATAGCAGCCAGCACAACTAGAGAGCTCACTAGACCAGGAAGGAAAACGAATCAGCTGGCAGGAAGTGGTGCTTACCTGAAGACGTAGAACATCTTTAACAGTAATATTAACACTGTAAATCCACAGCACTTTAATCTGAAGTTATCTTTGCATTCCTATTAGTTTAATAAATATTACTAAAAGCTGATTTCCACCCTATTCTCCATATGTCCTAAGTCGGATCCTTAATAAAATAAGACTTGCTGGGGCATGGTGGCTAACGCCTGAAATCCCAACACTTTGAGAGGCCAAGGTAAGAGGATCACTTGAGGCCAGGAGTTACAGACTAGCCCTGGCAACATTGTGAGTGAGACCTTGTCTCTATTTCATTAAAAAAAAAAAAAAAAAAAAAAAAAATTAAGGCTCTTATCTAGCCACTATTGACCCTCATTTCTCTCTTGCTTAATAAATAAATAAATAAATAAATAAGTAAAGTCGGCTGGACACAGTGGCCCACATCTGTAATCCCAGCACTTTGGGAGGCTGAGGTGGGTGGATCACGAGGTCAGGAGTTTGAGACCAGCCTGGCCAATATGGTGAAATCTCATCTCTACTAAAAATACAAAAATATGCCAGGCGTGGGGGCGTGCACCTGTAGTCCCAGCTATTAGGGAGGCTGAGGCAGGAGAATCGCTTGAGGCTGCAGTGAACTGAGATCACACCACTGTACTCCAGCCTGGGCAACAGAGAGACTCTGTCTCAAAAAAAAAAAAACGTCACAAGTTCAAAAGATTATCTCAGAAGGAAAAAACCTGAATCCACTAGAAAAGGTAGCACATGGGGCACAACCAAACATGAATTTCATCACCAAGTAGACTGTGGCTGGCAGAAATCTTAAATTCACGACTGAAATACACACTCTTCCTTATACTTCTCAGGACTCTCCCCAAAATAAACTGAAACAGTAAACCAATAGATTGATGGATGGGTAATTTGCTAAAAGTCCCATACACCAAAAAGAGGGTGGGGGGTAGTCTTAGGAGGTCTGCTCTCCAGCTAAACAACTGAAGAATGAAAGGATTTAGTGCATTTGCACAAGAAGAGCATTACAATGCAAGGAGGGAAGAAGTCACTTGGGGTTGGACAAATCCTTAGAAAATGCCAAAGGAATAAACCCTGATTCTGTGGTCGCCTTGTATTAATTCCTAGTGGGAAAGGGCCAACTCAAGATAAAGTAAGGTCGGGCTTGAGAATTGTCCTCACTTTTCTTGCCTAACCCTCTCGGCAAGCGGCCACAAACTCCCACCAGAACCCTTCGGGTAAGTGTCCAGCTAGGGGAGCAAGGGAAGGGGCCATCCTCAAGCGAGCAACCACCTGTGCGTGGTGGAGACCCCTGAGAGGGAGTTCTGATTACAGTGGGAGGCAGCTCTGGGGATGAACCTCCGAGACCAGGGCCGACACTGACTTCTCACCCAACTCCACTGCGGGTTGCGCCCAATCTTCGGCCACCTTCCAGCTGAGGTCACCCCTCCTGAAACCTCCGCCCCCAGACCACGGTCTACACCCACATCCAGCCGTCCCCAAAGCTCGCTGTTCGCTCCTCTGCCTGACAGCTGCCCTGCCGCCACCAGGCAGCCCCAGTTTCCCCAGCCCGGCTTCCCCAAACCAGTCTTCCGGCCTCGGGGGCGCTCCAGGCCCGCGGGATTAGGGATTAGGAACTGGAAAGGTTTGGTCCAATCCCCTTTCCCTCTCAGCGTCCTGGGCTCACCTCCCCGGCAGCTTAGCGCTCCTCTTCCAAAACTGCTTGCTGTTCTCAGCGGCCATTGCTCTGGCCGGGGAAAGGCCTTGTAGGCGGGCCAAGGGGGTTGCCTGGAGAGATGCCCCCAGACCCCGCAATCTGAGGGCCAACCCAGGCCGCTTCCCCGCCGCCGGTCACCCACTCCCAGCTCCTGGGGACGCCATCTTGGATGTGGGCACCCCTCCACCCAGCGCCGCTGCCATTGGTGAGCTGCGCAAACTGTGGATGGGCCGACCAATCGGGAGCCGGAATCCTGCAAGCCGCTGAAGCCAACGGGTAACGTCAGGGGCAGGGCACACAGGTGGATGGGGAAGGCGGAGCTTGGAGGAGCAGAGAGGCGGGGCTCAAAGTTCCTACCCTCGAGAGGGAAGAAGCAGGTAAAGTAAGGGACCTAAGGAATGGAAGAGAGGGGATTATTTTTTTCGTGAGGAATGAATTTCCTGAGTCTAATATTTTTTGGCAAGGGCGAGCATAATATGTATTTATATATAGGAATCTTTAACCTAAAAGTAAGGGCCCATGTGTTGACTGTGGTCCATTTTTAACATCTCTCAACTCAGTGACACTGGTTATTACCCTCCCCTTCCTCGTTCCGTTTACATGTCCGTTCGTTTTTCTGAAGGAAGGTCATCAGGGATCCGATAGCCCGGAGTTGCTAACTGTTCAACACGTGAGCAACGGTTCATCAGAGTCTCCCTCTCGCTCTGTTTATTGAAAACGATGGAAGGACTTGTGTTGTGGGTGAAAAATTCAAATGATCTAATCCCGATGTCAGTCCATAACTCTCACTTTCTGACTATGCTAACAGTGTATAGGAAATGGTTTGTGATAGCCGTCCAACTCAGCTTACCAAGTACCATTTCTTTGAAGGACACAGTATAGCTCCATTGTGTGAATCACAAAGTTAAGGATGCATCTCCTCCCGGCCCCACCAACATCCTTAATTTCCCTTGTTAATCTATTATAAATCTTGCACCCTTGGATTCATTTTCAGTTTAATTTTCACAGACAATGAGATTTAATATTAGCATTTTGAATATCTTGTCGGTGTTTTTTGCTGTTTTTGAGTTTCTGTGCTTGTATTCCGTGGTGATTTGGGGACAGAGAGAAGGCGGGCACCAGTCTAGAGTGGTTTTTGTCCCATCGAAGAACTGTTGAGGGGTCCCCCCACCCCCCATTCACAGCTACCACATGTACGTCCACGTATTGGAGAATACTTGAAGACCCGACCCCATGTCCTTCCACACATTGGAGAATGCTTAAAGACCTGACCCCTGGCCCCAGCCAAAGAAGGACCTTCTTTATATGTCCTCCAGTGACTGTTTCTTCATTACCCGCCTTTCTTTCTTTCTTTCCCTTTCTTTCCTTCCTTCCTTCCTTCCTTCCTTCCTTCCTTCCTTCCTTCCTTCCTCCTCCTCCTTCTCCTCCTCCTCCTCCTCTTCCTCCTCCTCCTCCTCCTTCTTCTTCTTCTTCCTCTTCTTTCTGTCTCTCTCTCTCTCTCTCTTTCTCTCTCTCTCTCTCTCTTTCTTTCTTTCTTCTCTTTTTTCTTGATGGAGTCTCACTCTGTCACCAGGCTGGAGTGCAGGGGCGTGATCTCAACTCACTACAACCTCTGCCTCCCCAGTTCAAGCTATTATCCTGCCTCAGCCTCCCAAGTAGCTGGGACTACAGGTGCCGGCCACCACGCCCGGCTAATTTTTCATATTTTATTAGAGACAGGGTTTCACCATGTTACCAGGATGGTCTCGATCTCCTGACCTCGTGATCTGCCAGCCTTAGCCTCCCAAAGTGTTGGGATTACAGGCATGAGCCAGGATTACCTGGCCCCATTACTCCCATTTTCAAGCTTCTTCTGTCCCCAGATTTTAGAATTATAGGATTCTATGAAAAGAGTTATTTTTACTCTCTCTGAATCTTTAATGCTTTTATACACGTTCATCTTGTCTTCTTTATGGCCATTTAACCCAGGGCAGGGGAGGGGAAGCCCCTCTTTCTTTTCTTTTTTTTTTTTTTGACACTGAATCTTGCTCTCTCACCCAGGCTGGAGTCCGACCTCCAACTCCCTGGTTCAAGCTATTCTCCTGTCTCAGCCTTCCAAGTAGCTGGGATTACAGGCACGCACTACCACAGCCAGCTAATTTTTGTATTTTTAGTAGAGATGTGTTTTCACCATGTTGGCCAGGATGGTCTTGAACTCCTGACCTCGTGATTCACCCACCTTGGCCTCCCAAAGTGCTGGGATTACAGGCATGAGCCACTGCGCCCAGCCACCCCACTATTCTTTTAATCATTTTACCTGCCTTTCTCTAGAAGGTGCTTCTTTTTCTTAACTGCACACAAAGCCCAAAGAGGAATGTACTAAGGCTTTGTTAAGGTGGATGTTTTGTCTTTATTCCAGACAGCCAGAACTTTTGCTGGCTGTTTGGGCTTTAGAAGAGTTGATGTCTTGAAGTAGTAATCTCAAACAACTTCCAGATTCCTTATCTTGGTGGCAACGGGCAGTTCAGAGTCCATCGTCTTAAAGGTATCCTCTGAATTGTCTTCCCCTATGTGAGCTGCCATACACTCATCCATGTGACAAGATACCTGCCACTTTCCAGCTTATACACATGGCTTTAGAGATGTTCCAGAAGATGCTCCCTATTGATTTGACATTTTACTATGTGGAAAGGAAAGTATAATTTGTGTACCTAGAACTATCTCAAAGTATTCCTTTTTCTTAATCTTTTATGAAATGTTAAATAACACTGATTCCCAGGGGATGTTGTTAGCAGCACTCAGCCCAGAGAAGAAGCCCATTATTTCTACACTTCGTTTTCTGTATCAGTTTCCCCTCTAAGATTTTTTAAAAATTCACATCAATTACCTGGTGATGGCTTTTTAAATAGTATTTGCTAGGGAAACTGAGATTGCTGGAACCTTTTTCACCACCACTATCACTTGACAACCCGAATCTTAACCAACCACACACCCACTTACAGTGGCCTGCTATTTGTCTCGCTGCTTTTTTTTTTTTTTTTTTTTTTTTTTTAATACTGGGTCTTGCTCTGTCACCCAAGCTGCAGTGCAGTGGCACGATCTCAGCTCACTACAACCTTCACCTCCTGGGCTCAAGCAATCCTCCCACATTAGCCTCCCGAGTAGCTGGGACTACAGGCGCACAGCACGATGCCCAACTAGTTTTTTGTGTTTTTGTAGAGATGAGGTTTCGCCATGTTGCCCAGGTGGTCTTGTACTCCTGAACTCAAGCAGTCTGCCAGCCTTGGCCTCCCAGAGTGCTAGTATTGCAGGTACGAGTCATGGCACCCAGCCCAGAAACAGACCGTATCATGTCACTTCTCTGCTCAAAACCTTGCCATGGCTTCCATTGTACTTGGCATAAAATCCAAGCTCCTTAAAGATGCTACATGACTCGGTTCCACTCGCCTCTCCAGTCACATCTCATGACACTGTCTTCCTTGCTTAATCTGCTCCAACCATGCCCATTGGTCTTTCTGCTGTTCCTTGAACACGCTAAACATGTTTCTACTTCAAGGCCTTTGCATTAACCATTTCCTCTGCTTGGACTTCTCTTCCCCTAAATGCATTGCTTCCCCATTTCATGCACATACCCAACTGTCTATATCTTGGAGAGACCTTCCCTAACCACCCATCTTAAATAGTGGCTACATTGCTCTATTTTTCTTTTTCTTTCTTTCTTTAATTTATCGTGACAAGGTCTCACTCCGTTGCCCAGCCTGGAATAAAGTGGCGTGATCACGGCTCACTGAAGGCTTGACCTCCAGAGCTCAAGCAGTCCTCCTACTTCAGCCTCCTGAGTAGCTGGGACCACAGCACATGCCACCACACCCAACTCATCTTTTGATTATTTGTAGAGACAGAGTCTCCCTATGTTGCCCAGGGTAGTCCCGAACTCCTGGGCTCAAATGATCCTTCCTCTTCAGCCTCCCAAAATGCTGGGATTACAGGCATGAGCCATTGTGCCTGGCTCTATTTTTACTTAAAGGGCTATCACTACAGGCCATATTATATACTTGTTTGCTGTCCATCTCTATCCCCTAAAATAGAAGCCCCCTGTCTGTGGCCTGTTAGGAGCCAGGCTGCACAGCAAGAGTTGAGCGGCTGGTGGGCTTGCAATCATTACCACCAGAACTCTGTTCCCTGTCAGATCAGCAGCAGCATAGGAGTGTGAACCGTATTGTGAACTGCTCATACATGGGATCTAGGTTGTGCACTCCTGATGAGAATCTAATGCCTGATTATTTGAAGTGGAACAGTTTCACCCTGAAACCCCCTTCCCCCAAAATTTTCATGGAAAAGTTGTCTTCCATGAAACTGCTCCCAGGTGCCAAAAAGGTTGGAGACTGGCATATTGGGAAAATATGCCTGGGTGCCTTAGAATGTGAACTCCACCAAGGCTGGGACTTTGCTTTGTTCCTTGCTGTATCCCAGCACCTAGAATAGTGTTTGGCACATAATGAGTGCTTAATTATTATTATTATTTTTTTAGATGGAGTTTCACTCTTGTTGCCCAAGTTGGAGTGCAATGGCACAAGATTTGTTCGCCTCAACCTCCGCCTCCTGGGTTCAAGTGATCCTCCTGCCTCAGCCTCCTGAGTAGCTGGAATTACAGGCATACGCCACCATACCCAGCTAGTTTTGTATTTTTAGTAGAAATGGGGTTTCTCCATGTTGGTCAGGCTGGTCTCGAACTCCTGACCTCAGGTGATCCGCCCACCTGGGCCTCCCAAAGTGCTGGGATTACAGGCATGAGCCACTGTGCCTGGCCCCAGTAAATATTTACCGAGTGAAAGAACGAAGAATATAAATATGTCTTGTCTTTCAGTTCTATGTTATTCACATATTTTTTGTTAGGAAAGATGATGGAAACAGTGTTTCCTAACCCCTAGTAGGATGTGTCCACTTTATCAATGATTCTATATCCTTGCCTACACTCTCAGTTGAAGAAGAGTCTTCTTCTCGGAGAAAGATTGTATTCTTCAAACTCTTTTGCAACTTCAAAGGAATGTGCCTGTACCTAGAATGATGAGGGAGGGAGGGCCTCACCTATTCAGGAGATCGGTTGGTAGCTGTCGTCAGAGGGCTGATAGCTATGGCAGCCATCCTTGCCTAGCAAGAGGTGTAAATCATTGGTTTGAGGTTCCCAAGGGGTCCTTGGAGGCTTTTTGATGGAGGTCCTTCTTGGCAGGTATTCACTTGTCCACTAGACCATTGCTTCCTATGCTACATTGCACGTGTGAATCACCGAGGATTATATTAAAAACCTAGATTCTGATTCAGTAGATCTGAGATGCAGCCCACAACTGAGCATTTCTGACAAGCTCCCAGGTGACACTGATGCTGCTGAGCCATGGACCTCAC